CACACTTATATTTACATATAAATAAATAAATAAATATGCACAAGTATGCCCTTTGTGTAAACTCTACCGGATGGACTAGGCAAATCTGTGTGGAGCCAAACCCACACAGTACCGGTGCTGCCTATGTAACCCTGGAAGGATCACTGCAGGAAGCCTGCTACAGAAGAATCCAAACTCAGTCAAACATGGCAAGTCTACTACTGATAGAGAAATCAAATACACAATTACAAAATATGTGCGTGTGTACATGTATACAGGGACAATCAGAAGCCCACACATCTGTGAGACTATTTAGTTGTGGAAGGATTATTCATGCAAGTAAAACATGCAGAATCACACAAGATTCCTAGACAGTTTTTATACATTTCTTGAGGCTTTTCATACAGAAATTTTTTGTATGAAAAGATTTCCACCGACATAGTGAGATGGCAGTTGAGAATCTCAGACAGTGATTTTTTTGAGATACAGAACATGTATTACATACTTGGCAAACTTCCTCATCCTGTGATCTCAGATGCTAACTTTTAATGAAAAGGCAGCTCAGTTCATCAAACCTAGTCTGTTCCTTTGGTTGAGACTTCCAATGATAATACCAAATTGCACCAGCTCTCCTGGACAAACGTACTTGCCTACAACCAACATGTTCCATGCAGGCCACTAAACCATCCATCAGATAGCAACATATTTTGGCTACTGCACATCTGACGAGGGCTGAACCAATGATTTAAAAACAATGTAAATTATTCTAATGCAAAAAAATCTGAAAAGAACCACAAATTGGCTAGGAGGAGGGGAGGCAGTGAGTGATTTTTTGTCAAAAATTGAGCAATATATAACTCTCCTGATCTAAGCTAGCGGACTTTTTTTTTTTTTTTTTTTTTTTAAGGGCTACACTGACACAGAAAATAAAAACATCTTCTCTCCATCCAGCAGAAATCCTAGAAGGCAGTTGGGCAATCCTGACAAACAAAATATTCTGCTACAATAATGAACAAACAAAAAAGGTAACAAGGACTAAAGTGGCCTAGACAACTCAGCACTGCTATCTGGAAAATAACACAGCATCTGAGTCCACAGCTACATTGAAACAGAGAGTAGACCAGCTCTGTTTGCTACATCAAACGTGGCTCAGTTTTTTTTCTCTCTTTCTCTCTCGTCAAACATAAATAACTACAGTCTCTTAAATAAATTAGCTCAACTTTCATTACAGAAGCTGCCTCAATTTTTCTTCAAAAAGGGATGTAGATGTTTGTTCAGGAAATTATAAATAAAGTATAAATGCAGAGTTTCCGTTGCATGATGGTCCTTCTCAGCAGGTAGTGTTCAGCACAGTGTCTATTTTTCTTCTTTATCCTATACTTTGGGATTAGAGCACTACTATGACCATTTCTGATGGGAAACAGATGAAAAACTTTATGAAATAAGAGGAGCTTAAACTATACTTACTGTAGAAATAAAACAATAATCAGGTTTAAAATGAGCAGAAAATAAGTGCAATTTTTTTCTTTTAAACTGATTTCTATATGTGTGTGAGTTGTGTGCTATATGCGAACCCCATCAGAAAGGCTAACTGGTGAAAGACAGCAATGCTTAAAAGCCCTACAAGCACCTACTACCCAGCTCCAATGGGACCGCTCCTAGAAGTTAAGTGGTGCTTAGCTAGATTACGATTTTTTGCATCAAGGCAGTTACAGTAGCGTAGCTCTCGGGGGGGGGGGCAACATGACAGTGTGTACAAAATGTTGTCTAATAAGGTTCACCTTAGTTTCAAACTGTGCAAGCTATTTTGTATATCAGTGTAGAACATTTTGATTGTGGTTTCAGTGATGTAAAACCAAGGCAAGTCTTCAGTATTTCCGTGATGGGGTGTATAGTTTGACTTCAGGGCATGATTAGCCAAGGACAGGGGCTTTTCTTCTCAGTGTTACAGTGATGCTTCACATCCTTCCTAAAACTGGCTGGGGTAGAGTATCTCTGGCTTTAAATCTCTCTCTAGTGCAGAAAAGATTACTACTATTATTATTAATTTATGTCATGCTTGTCTGCTTCCAAACTCAAAACACTTTACTAAGTTACAATATACATAGGAATAATTTTACTTTGGCCACCACCACCACACTGTAGCCTTCTCCGGAAGGAAACTGAAGGGAACCATTAGGATGGTGCCTGGAACATTAAACAACAGTTCCTTGAGAGGAAGTAAAGAATACGCTGGCTCCTTAAAGCAATGGCTCATCAGAATGCAATCACTGAACTGCCATCCAGCTGGGAAACCAAAGTCAATACCCATTCACCGTGTGTGGTTAAAATTAAATCTCCTAATGAAGTGAGATGGTTTTAGTGGTTAGAGAGTGAGTGCAAAGTATTATTCTCCTCCATTATTATTTGCAAGTTATATAGCTAACAAGGGAAAGGATCGCACACAAGAAAATAGCAAATGGTTAGATAATGTTCCAAATCCAGTTTCTGAATGACATTTAAGCAAATAAAACTTCAGAAAAACATGTTAAAAAAAAAGATGACACAGAACAAAGGAATTGGCAGTTTCTCAACGGTTTTAAGGAACTGAACTGAACTGAGAGCTGATATCAGTTTTTATCTCCTATAACTGAGGTCCAGAGAAAGAACATTATTAGCAATTGCTAATGAGCAGGTATTCCCTAAATACTGCTGCAAGTGCTCCTGAATTTTACTTCACTAAAAAAAGTATTGTGGAAAAAAATCCTAACAGCTTATTTTTGGCCCTAAATTAGCAAAATGCTTAGATGGTTTTCTGGATTGGGCGTTTATATGTCAGATTAAAAAGATCCTCAGATAGTGCTATCAAGCTCTTTTCACGGCTAGTAATTGTTAGCTGGTTCTAATCATTCTTGCAAGTGATCATTTGAAAGGTTCATTTTATGACCCCTCAAACTACCACAAAGAATCTCACTCCATAACGTAATAAACAATTCTACAACTAGGGTTTAATTAATTCCCAAAAGTCACCAAAAGGAGCTATTAATGATCTTTCTTTTTATCCAGACACAAATATGCAGGTCCCCTGGGATAAAGGATTTTAATAGAACATTCTGGCAGGACTAACCGTCAACTTGATGAAGCATAAAATGATCAGCAGTGAGATAATTCAAAATGTGATGGCACTGCTACCTAGTCTGATTAGAAAGTTAGGTCAAGCTGGATTAAATTTCTCTTAATGTTGTACTTACCAAAAAGAGAATAGAGCTGGCACGGTACAAAACAGATTCAAACCAAATGAATATGCAAGAGGAGAAAACCACAACCTTTAGAAAATAATTTTTAAAATTCAATTGTATTTGCGTAGTCACTTTACTGTGAAAATACTAACATTTATTATATATTGTGGACAATGTATCAGGGTTGTACAAGATCTGCTTATTAGAAAAAGCAGGCTAGTATTTTCAAGAGAACTTAAATGTTTTAGGAGCCCAAGTATCATTTGCACAAGTAAATCAGACAGTAGGAAGCCCTTAAATGAAATCTAGTTTCCTGGCAACGCAACCCATTGTTGAAAATTAGATTTAGGCTCCTAAAGGGCTTTGATGCTTTGCAAAATCACACTTCCTGCAGCACTCCACAGCTGACTAGGTGTAATACAATAATTTACTCTTCTACTGAGGTTATAAACAATGGAGTCACTTTGATGGTTTGATGGTCTTAGTGATGGGAGGTTGTGCCTTTTTTTTTTTTTTAAAAACACTTAAAAAATTTCTTCTGGGCAAACATGCTGGGCAGCTTGGGCAGCTATGATAGGAAGCAGGGGCAGGCAGAAAGAGAGAATCTGCCTATTCCAAAATAAACTCATGCAGTCCTTTTGGGTGCACACGTCAGCGGGGCCTGTGCACCCCCATTTCCCATCCTCAGAGGAGCCCCATGAACTACTGGGCACTCTCCTGGACTGGGGATCTCTGAACGTCTCCTGATGAAGCAATCACTGCGACACACATGCACAACAGAAAGGTGAAACAGACTGCCCTACAACCCCGCCATTATGGTTCTTGCTACTAGTATGAAAATCCAAGGCTCAAATACCTCCCCAACAAATTTTTAATTATTAATGCCAACTGGAACAGACACAACAGGAAAGACTGAAATAGATTCGGTAGGAAATCAACTAAGAGGACATTCAGGGTCCCCATTCTTTGCCTCCCCTGGGGCAGGCAGAGAAGGCCTCAGTTCTTTAGAGCAGTGCTTTGATATGGAAGGAAAATCCTGATATATATGCCAGGGTCCCACTGGAAGATGGAGACTGCTGATTGCTGCACTTGGCTTGGAAGAACTTACTGTTCCAAACATTTTAGAAAACCTGGAAGTTCCTTTACACAGGAAATTTTAAAATTTCTCATTTTTGTTCTAACCTGCAATAAAACTTTTTTTTTAAAGTTGGAATTTCCTGTGGAACAGAAATTCTGTTTTGAAACCATTTCTATTCAACAGAGCTATTCAGATGGAAGCATTTTCCTATTCATTCCACTTTGCAACTAACTGGTGCCACCCCAAATGTATTGCTCTTCCAGGAATGATGTGGCAGCCCTGGAATAGTTAATTAGTTGGGCTGTATGATGCCGGTGCCAGCAGTTTCAGCTTCCAGAGGCATTCCTTTAAGGAATGGTGGTGTGGGTTTGGCATTTACAAAGATACACATGGTTTCAGAAGCCCACAGGCACCAAAAGTTAGCTTGTGTTTTATAGCTGGCTCATCTCAACTCAGTCACTGAGCTGATGTCCCAACCACAGCAAATCAAGCAAACTTGTTCAAAGCACTCAAGAAGAAAGCTTTTGGTTAACTTATTTTTCTTTTTTGAAAATTTCTGTCTTTGGGGGGAAAAAACCCCTTTTACAGCTATTGACAGGGAAAATAATTAAATTCAGATATGCATTACATTGCAATATGCTCTCTTGTAGATAGATACCTTCATCACTTAGCCCTCAAATTTTTGTACATTGTTAAGATAAATGAAAGATGTCTAAAACCAGTACCTCTATATTTGGTCACTACAGCTGAGTTGACATTCAGAGGTTCTTGGAAGGTGACAGTGAGTGATGTACTGCTTGTTACCATGAGACAGACATTGGTTGGCGCCTCAGGGGCTCCTGGGAGAGAAGAGAAAACATCAGCTCTTCAGCACAACAAATCCTATTCAAACAATGTTTCTGTGTCTTCAAAGAACCTACTGAAAATCACCCTGCAATTGTGAGCTTTGGGTTGTAGGTGTTTGCATTCACTGCCTTTTGAGCATTTTAATTAGTGTCCCTGCTAACAATATCCTCCAGACACCATTTGTTTCTATCATGGTTTTTGGCTCCTTTTGGTTAAAAATATCTTCCTGCATATATGTAACCCAATAAAACAGATTCATGCTAATTATGTCAATGAAAAGCCCCTATAAATCTCTTGGGGTGGGTAAGAGGGGAGAGAAAGGACAAAACCACAAAGAGCTAATTAAACCTTTATGGTTTCACTAACAAACTCAAATTTATCAAATGACAGAAACCATTTTTACATCATTGTGATTCCGAAATTGCAAATTCCACAAATGTTTCAGCGTAGTAGTTCCAAAATACATTTGTCCATTGAAGCTTAATGTCTTTTAAAACAAAGCTGAATTCACACACTATCAGTCAAACTCAGTTCAGAAATCAAACACAAAATGTCATGACTTACTGCTGGCATAAATAACAATTTTTTCATTATAACAACTTACAATACTGCTGTATTTGCTGTGTTTAATATGCAATACAAGGAGCACCATATTTGCCTTGAAAAAATAATTTTAGAATACAGTGAGTGGCCTTGCAAAAATTATTTGTAAGTACATTTATATAAAGGTGGCTGTAAAAGTGTTAATGACAATGATTGTATTTCATTGAATAGGATACAGTCAAAAGATCTAAGAGTGAAACAGTTCAGCCCTGTTTGTTTACTCCTTCCCATGGGTCCAAAATAACTTTTACTTTGGGAACAGACTCATTTGTAGAACTGTTTAAAGTGGCCCAATCTGTGACCGCTCTCATGAAAGAGCATATGCAGATGCCAAAAATAAGATTATGCTTTCACAGTTTTTATGCGAAAATTTAAATTTCATTGTTTGATCAAATATTTAAATTTTTAAACAGAAATGTTTAAAATTTTTTTTAATTACAATAGAAAAAAGGCCAATGTTCTAACCCCTCTTCCTCCTAGTCATATATTCCTATTTGCCCTATTTTAAATTCTGATCACATTAAATGAAATCCAGAAGTAAATGTGAAGAGGAAGAAGCAGGACAGAACGATTAGATGGTGAAGTAAGAGTTTGTAGGCCTCCTCTTATCAGTTTTACACAGCCTGCTCCTAAAGAAGCTATGTGCTTGCTGCTCTCATTTATTTGGTCCTCTTTTGTTCTAACATCAATTCTCTTCTCATTATTGGTAACGCCATTTAGTTGTATTTCTCACTTTTCCCACCCTAACACTTGCTTGCTTCACAGCAGTGTTGTGAGTATCAGAACATCTTTGTTCGACAAAGGCAGACTATTCTCAGTTGCGGAGTTCTTGTCTTGAACGTCATAATTACTTTCTTCTACTTACTAGCATGCTCGTAGCCTGCCTTCATGCGCTTGTATAGCCTGTATCTCCATTCCCATGCTTTTAGTTGCTTCTCTTTTTCTGTGTTGTCCGTACCAAGGCCTTCATTCATCACTTGTGCAGACAACTCAGTAACTCTCTGCTGTGCTTCCTGGACCAACGTGCTCAGATGCACTGACCTGCTTTCCATGTTAACAACTACCAAGAAAAGGGAAAAGTAAATAATCGCTTGATGGACTTAAGCGACAAAATTGTGGCCTTAAGCCTTCTGATATAACCCATATAAGGTAAAATCCTTGCAACATTGTCTTCCGGTAGGTGTCCTATAGTCAAGTGGATTAGAGCCATGCCAATTTATATCACTCGAGGAACTGATCACTTGAATAAACTGAGCAAATTTTATTTCCCAGTGTTTCTCACATGCTTAAAAATGTCCTAAGTAGACTGAAATAGACTGTTTTAAGCTGGTGGAACATTAAAAAATGACTAAAACAATAAAACACTTTGGTTTCTATCCAGCCTCTACTTAGCCATAATATCATAAGCTTCTGTGGAAAGAAAAGAGGCTGATCCTAGTTATAGATAAAGGCATACAATATATAAATCTCTACAAGCGAAGAGAGATCTAACCTAAGAATGAGTGCTGTGCTTAAGGGCCCTGGCTGGGCTTCAATAGATCTCTTCCTAGGTTTTCTTTGTGCCTCAGTCCCCCACGTACATATCTATTTAGTCCTCTGAGTGTCTTGACAAATAGTGAACAGTTTGACACATGGAGATTCTGTTTTTCTCCACTGCACAGAACAATTTCTATTCAACATTTAGCAGTCCCTCCAGTATGCTCATACAAACTATAAAGATGAATATAAAGATTGCTATATAAAGTGCTATATAAAGATGAAAATGACAATAACATAGGTTACAAGCTAAAATAGGCTTTGATCTCTGCCCAGGTCCACAGGACTGCCCTAAACTAGCCCCTATACAGTGAAATGAGTTGAATAAATCACTATTTTTAGAACTGCTCTTAGCCTGAGCTTGTTCAAACTATGTACAGGTTAGAAAATATAACTTGTAAAACTGCTTAATGTGAGAAGGAATGCAACAACTGATCTGAAGTTCAATACACAGGAAATAGCGTACAAGAGAAGGAATTCTGAAATCACAGAAAATAAATTTTATCTGGTATCTCATAATTTTGCAGAAGAGTTCTCAGATAGTCTTGATTTAAAAGGCCCCTATTTATCTAAAATGCTTCACTGCCACAAGCCACAACTCTTAACAATGATGGGCACAGGGACAGCCAGGGTCCTGATTTCTCTAAGGTTTTTATAGGAACAGCACGAGTCTTCTGCAGGCTGCACTGATCATTTACTTGTATAAGAAAGGAGAGATATTTTCTGAAAACATCAAACTGCTGTATACATGTTTGCTGTCTCAAACTGTGTTGAGACCAACACTCTGACTGGCTTTTGACATCAGAACGCCTCGAGAGAAGATATCTGCCAGGCACATAAGAATGCGTTATTCCTAACCTGGAATTATAGGATTAAAGGTAATTCAGGTTGGAAGGGACCTTCTCTAGTCCAACCTCCTGTTCAAAACAGGGTAAGCTATTAGGTCAGACCAGATTACTTGGAGCTTGATCCAGTCTGGTCTTGAAAACTTCCCAGGCTTTATAACCATTCTGGACAACCTGTTTCACTGCTTTATTGTCTTTACGTGAAAGAGTTTTCCTCTTATCCAGTCAGTCTGAACTTTTTTTTTTTTTTTTTTTTTAAACTTATGCCCATTGTCTCTCATGACAACATCACAATCAGTTATAGAGTCTAAGGATAGCCTTGCATACTACTGTGAAAAGTGCCATTGGATCTGTAAAAACCGCAGGGAGAAAGCAAAGAATTACTTAACATTTCTGACATACAAAGGGTTTTTTTTGAAGCAGGTTTGTCGCTAAGACTTTGCTTTCAGAAGCTGGCTTGCCGCCATCCTTCTTGAAGTCTGATCATTCTTCATACGGACAGAGACATATGGGCCAGGCTTAATGGAATCTGCCGGTATCCTCAGTACTGGCTGTCTACTGGGAGGCCAAAGGTGACAGGGTTTCCTGGATCCATGCCTACAAGAAGCATGCAACACATCTGATAGCACACCAGGACTGAGAAAGGAGATTTTATGGGCCAGAACTTCAGGTAATTGCAAATTGGCATTTGTTCAAGTTCCCATTGAGGATCTGGCTGTATCTCTTTAATCAAGATCCGTATTTGTCAGGTCTTGGAAACATGTCAAATCAGCCACTGGAAATTTTAATCTTATTTTTATTTGGGTTTGCATGAACAAGTCAAGCCAAGAACATGTGATGAAAAACAGTAACTGAAAAGATGGTAACGCAGTGGACTTTGACAACAGTGAAAGTTCTGCCTCCTCCCCACTAAGTTAATGTTCTAAATGCTGTACTCTCTGATCCTGCTTACTTTGTGTTTAGGAGATGCTAGGTTCCTGGTAAGATTTTTACAATCTGAGCTCCATGTGGAAATGGAGATCATAGTTTTATTTTCTATGGTTTTATCTTGTGTTCTGCCTATTCCAGGCAGCAGTCCAGGTGATACAGCTGGAAGCTATCTGTCCTCAAGATCCTCTTTTCTATAGCATTACGTTAGGGGCTATACTGAGATTCCAGCTGGATTACTATGGCTAAGATAGCAGAAAAGCAAGAGCCTTCCCTCTAGGAAGACTTCTGTGTGCACTTGGAAAGAGGAACGCCTTTACCTTGCAATCTCCCAGATCTGTGCATCTGTCTTAAACAGTCACTTACAATCAGATTAAGTGATGCTTGTGTCCTGTCCCAAAATTGTGGTGAGTCAGAATTTTCCCTTGAAACCCCCAACCCTCCCACACAGCCTGGAGAAGTTTTGCTCAGCTGCCCAACAGACATGCTCCTGCTGCGTGCTGGATCATGCTCTTACAGCCCTGAGATCGTACAAACAGAACGGATTTCATTCTAACAGGGTTGGTTAAGTACAAGAGGCAAAGCAGAAAGACTGGAGAAAATAGAAAGCGACTGCTGTCAGTTCCACAAGAATGAAGCCAAATACAAATATGCAGCAAACCTTTGAGTGCTGAAAACAATTTTTTTGCATTTTGCTTTCAAGTAGTAACTTTAGGTCCTTAAGGAAAAAACTAATCATTTGCCTTTTATCGAGAAAGCTTTATCCATTATTTCAATCAGAAAAATCAAGATAAGTGAAGTAGAAATTTGGTGGGTATATTTTGAAATGGAAATGAGGTGGTTATATATTCATATTCTCTGTGTTCATAGGCATGTTTGCATTAATTACAGGAAATGAATACTAATTTATGATTGCCCCTGCTCGACATCAGACTGCATTTATTTACAGATGAGGTCAATGAAAAATTAGTTTAGTCTTTTTTACTGCTGTTTAGAACACTCAAGACTGTGTTTTCCTCTAGATTTGTCATGGTTAATGAATGTTGCTTCAGCAGTCAATCATGTACTCTAAATGCTGTCACACTTTTTTTTAAAGCCTCAGTCATGAACCATGACAGAAAAATAAACAAATAAATATAAAGCTAAAAAACTCTTTTCACTGAGCAGCTACACTATGCAAAAATCTCCTGGGAAGGTTAAAGGAGGCCAGAATAAATGATAATATAAGTGCTGTGGACATAGAAAAGCAATAAAGGTGTACCAACACTGAGGGTCTGGCAAAAAAACTCAACACACACACACATGCACATGCACACACGCTCTCCAGTGAAAAAACTGGCAATGTTAGTAGCCTCAAGGTGCAATTTCCTGGAGCACTGAGATTGACATGCCAGCACTAAATGTTGTTAATTTAACTAACTTGAAATTAATGGCAGAGTCTGCAGTGGCCGAACCCCTCAAACACAGTCTCATTATAGCCTTGCTGGGAATGTCCTAAATATAGGCATTGACAGTTTAAAACAAATTCGCATACATTGGTGTATTTTTAGACACAAGTCAGGCGTCAGAGTTTGTGTCATGGTTTACGGTTGATTAATTGGGTTGGTAAGTCACCGTCCAACCCACAAATTGTGCATAAAAATGCCCGAGAAGGAATACAAAGGACAGTTTTATAACTACAATAAGTAGTTATAAGCAATACTGGTGTTCCATTAAAGTGAGAAGGCCTATCTCATGCTAAGGTTTTCACTGGTTCTGTAGGACTTTGAAATTCTCGTTTGAGTAGGATTTTGGGTCATATGAAGACTAGGACTGAAGAGTCATGAGCAGGAGCCTGAGGTAATGGAAATGATAGATTTCAACACAATCTGTCTCCTGACGGCATCGTGGCCAAGATCAAAAGGATAATCAACATAAACCATAGTCAAGATAATCCATATTCCCTTGATAACAAACTCCATATTCCAACCTATGATCTTTGGATTACTCACTTAAGGTCCTGTTTACATATTTTTAAAGATTTCTTCTCAGTACTAACTCAACTCCCCCAGCGTTAATTAGGTTAGGAGCTCCACCTGATTCATCAGCTGGTATGTTAGATTAGGGAACAAAACAGATCTGCTGAACACGCACCCAACAAGCAGACGGTCCTTCAAATGCCCTCCAGCACTGTGGTACTGTTGCTGGTATAATCATCTTAATGATAAAACCAGTCAAACTTTGTGCATAACATAACTAATTTCCCAAAACAGTATGCAAACCTAATCTCCTGCTGGGAATTATCTAAGTCAATTCAATTAGTGTTCTTTACTTACAGTGCGGGCCTTCCTTTGCCCCAACCTGTAGAAGGGTCCTAGCAATAGGGATGTTGTTTGTCAAAATGGCAATATCCAAAGGAGTTAGTCCCTCACTGTTTGGGGTGTTTAGGTCCAGTTCCTCCGGCGTGTACTGATAGAGAAGAATTTGAACAGCATCCAGATCTTGCTGTTCCACGGCCTCAAACATAGCTTCATTGCACTGGAAATTCTATATATTAATAAAAACAGAAATTCAGTACAACTTTTCAAATATCAGCGTTTTAAAGATAAACTGAAAAAATTGTAATTTTTGAGACTGCTATAAAATATTGATCCTTCAGACTCAGCTTAGGTTTAAATAGAAACATACAAATTATTTGCAGCAAAACTGTACTTGCTCTGGTTCCTGTCTTGTGTGCTTGAACCAATTTGTTTAGGCTTGTGGGAAGACTGAAATGAGATTCAAAACCACCCAAAACAAACCTATACTTATCTGAAGATCTGTCCTGAATTCAAGCTACGTGAACAATATTGCGTATTTTCAGCGTGAAACTGGATGAAAGACTACAATTTTGGCAGTCCTGGACTACTGAGTTTTTCAGACCCAAAATTCGAAGTAAAAATCTGGGTTATACAAACTCAGGTGATCAAAATCCAAATCAAGGAAGCCATTCTGGAGAAAAACTTTTACAGCTCCAGCATGAGCTAGAAATACCAAATCGCTCCAAATACTTAAGTCATTTCTAGCTGCTCATATTTTTGCATTCAACTTGTAATTAGAAGCTTGGAAATGCACAGTCCTTAAATAAAAAAGTAGAAATGAGACTGAATAAACTGACTGTCCAGTCTGTGCATCTAGAAACAGATGCACCTGAACGCCAAGGAACATAAACAGATAAGCCAACAAGGAAAGCTGAGAACATACATTGCACTTGACTCTCAAGCAGAAAGAACCACTGAGGGCCTTTTCCCCACCAATGACAAGGGGATAAACAAAGAACTGTATGATACAAAGAAACCTATCATTTTTTAATTGAGCGGGGGAGAAGCAGGTGCAGGATGCTAGCGTGGCCTGCAGGTTTCTGTTATGAAAACATCCTTCTGGAGCCTACAGTAATGACACACTACTTGCCAAGTTTCCTTAAATTCTCTCTCAGTGTCCCATTGCCATAATTACCCAATAGATTTTTGTTTCTTTTAATAATGAATTAGTAGAAGTCAGAGGCTCAGCAAAGCAAGGAGAGCTCAGCGTGAGGTCACATAATGGAGCAGAGATCTATGTAGACATATTGCGCCAATGGGCATACTAAAGAAATGCATATACAAGACAGCAAGCGATACAGATGCATGATATAAACTAGCTTCCTGTGTCCTGAAACTCACGGTGGAAAAAACACAGAGGCAATTTTTATGCAACAGGATATCATTTATGATATGAAACAAATACTGAATTGAAACCCTGAAACATTCTCTTCTACTGTGATCAGAAGTTAACATTTCAACCACATCAAAACACTTCATTTTTCCTTTTTAAATAGATGTAATTATATTGGGCATACTCTTGCACAAGTTTTGCTCTCAGTGAAACAATACTTTCTGATAGAGTACTGATCTGCTGGAACACTTTTCATCTCCTTTAAAAATGTATAGACTAGCGATTTGCAAGCAGTTCTGAAAACTACAGCAGCAGCCCATGGTGGAGTCCATAGCTACGCCTGGAAATTCCATCAGCTCTGCAGGGGCCTTTTCAGCTGTGCTTGAAGGTAAAAGAGTCTTCAGAAATTCTAGGATCTAACAGAGATCTTTGGGGCCAAAAAATCTGGGAACTGTGGTTTTTGAAAACTGTTTTATTACAGATAAAATAAATGAAATAGATACAACCAACCAAGCTGCTCCAAGCACCTTGTAGGAAGGGAGAATATAGCTACTGTTTTGTGTGTAAAGTATTGGCACCACTAAGAAGTTGCAAAGATAGTATTATCTTAAAGCTTTAATACAGGCACCAACTAAGCTGAATATTAGGGATCACCAGAACAAGTCAGATGTATATAAGATGATCTTTTCCCCCAAATTTAAAAGGCACAGACACAAGACACTTGTTAAATGAAATAAACTATGCAACAGTGAAGTGAATCTAGAAGACTCATGCAGACTTAGAAATCTAATTTAGACAGCCAAGTTAGGAAAGACAACTCACTGAGGAAGTTTTTTTTCCTGTAGATTTCCATGCAAAATAAGAGACACCACTTAAGCAAGTGTCTCATGACAACAGGTCTCTGTCAAATTCTTTTTTGCACTGTAAGATCAAGATTTCATTTCACTATCAAATACTTAAATCATATTTTAGTGTCAGGTGCAAGAAATACTGAAGTAAGAGACAGCAGAATGGTAAGCAGTTAGGCTTATCATTCTCCATCCATTCCCTCTGTTCAAGGCAAAAGATTTTCTTTAAGGACAAACACTGTCATTAGGGAGGGTGCATTTACAGCAAATTTTAGAAAAGAGATTGTCACATATTCCTCTAATTTTAAGGTAAAGCTTAAAATGACTGAAAATTTTACTGCAATGCACCATTATTTCCTTTCATTCCAGTAGCTCCACACATCTGCTGTCTCGCTTATAGAATACCTTATCCTGAAATCAGAGGTCTTACTTTCATTCTGGGGATTCTCCCCTAACCCTTAAGTAATGAAGTGCTCTGAAATGCTCTAGAAATCAATTTTTTATTAATTATAAAGTATTTTAACAGTATGATTCTGATACATATTAACTGTCTTCAATCCCACTCAAATCAACAACACATTTAACAGCTGTATGTCACTGTACCATGTTCTCAAAATTAACATAAATAGATCATTGATATTCCAGCTAAAGAGGAAAAAAGCTATGGTCCTTTGTGCTTTGAAATGTTATTATTATGGGTGCAGAACTGTGAAGTGATGCACTATTTTTTCACATGAATGATTAGAAAAACAAAATATGCTCACTAATTCTCCAAAAATATTTATTTATAATCTAAAAAGCATTAATTTAATCCCAGTTTACAGCCATTTCAAACTATTTCTCTATCAATTTTGGAACTTCCACTATGTTGTTAATTTTCTCAAATAAACAACATTTTTGATTCAGAAGCACCTCTACCTTTATCAAATGACAGAACAAGCAAAATCATATTACTCTTGTAACTGATTACAGCTAGTAAAAATCTACTTTATCAATGAATTCATAAATTCATAAAGTTAAAAACTGAAACTAATGTAGTCATTCAGTTATTAGTTAAGTTCTTTTGAGGAAACACTGGCTAACAGTCTGAGTGCAGAACAAAAAGGTAGAGCTGATGACATTAATCAGCGACAGGCTTGTAGTACAGACTCAAGACAGAGGACTAAGTTTTTCTCGGTTTGAATTTCCTCTTCTTCTGTGGCACTGGGTACATATGTAGTTTTTGCCCTTCTGGAATCAGAGTAGTCATTCCCTTTTAATTGACTTCATGGTATGTGCCACATAATGTGGTTTAAACGAACTAATATTTGTAGAGTGCTACCTATGTGCTAGATAACATAATTTGGTATCAAATCTTATATAATGCAAGAAACTCCTGAGATGTAGTGTAAAAAAAGAAAAACTAGAACATAATGAAAAAAGGAGGGCTAAATTTTGCAGAATCAGTATTACAGCTGAAAATAACTCGGTTATATGGCTGACAAAAGCATTTGGCACTTTTCAAATATATACATACACTTTAACAATAGATTTTACCCACTTGAATGACTATCGTAAAAATATTTTCAAAACTTTATTTGAATTGTTATTTTTGGATTAAATTATCAAGATTTAGATCTGCTTAGATGCCTTTAAAAATGGATCTTTGGATTTTTGTTTGCCAAACTAAATATCTAAAGTATTTCTGACATTTTGGCCCTCAGTAATTTGCTGAACAGAATCTAAGCGCATGCTTAAGTTAGTTCCTCATAAATGCTCTTGCCAGCAGATCTATTGGCAGGAATGTTTCACCAAAAAAATGCAAAAATAAAAGCAAATTTTTATTTCTTCATTTCATTAGAAATCTGATTGAAAAAGCTGCACTCATTTAAACAAGAAACAGAGCATGAAGTTTATAACTTACTTCATCCAATCCAAACAGTTCTGAGACCAAATCGCAAATAGCAGGTTTTCCAAATGAACAATTCAGACACAACCAATAGCCTGAAATATGCTGGCATGTCTAGTAACTTCAAAGAGAGAAACAACGTAAGAATTGTGATACGGCCTCTCTAGCCAGGCATGTACGTAATCCCTCATCCACATAGTAGTGTGCATCTAACCATAATAGATATATTTCAAACAACATCCTGATGAGACAGCAAAGTATTTACCACATTTTCAACCATGCCAGTAAGTTTCCCCAATTTGCACTGGAAGTCTGCATTGAGACCAGCTCTTCAGGCCCAGAAAACATGCTATAGTCCAGATCAACTTTTCCCCAACTATTTGCTTTCACACAAAAAACAGGAACATCTTTGAAGACTATATTGTTTTCTGCAAAAAGCTGATCATACGCTACTTAAGAGAGTCTTTAATATTTCAGTATTATTCAGACATTTCCAGCCCAGGGGTATGAAATTCAAACTGTGCTGTAATATCAAAACTGTAATATCAAGCTAGTGATATTACATGACGATGTAATATCAGTAGACCTACATGTTCAATTTTGATCCAGCGGGTATTGTTACAAATACTAACAAGAGCCTCCTGATTTCTGTCTTCATTTACACCTACTAGACAATTTTCTTCTGCTATGAAAAGAAAAAAACCCACCGAATTCAAACAGAAACTGAATCACATTTACAAGTGATCAGGCAAAGTTTAGGGACAATTTTTACATTTCTTTTTCCTTGATTCAGTTCTGCAGCCTCTAATCATTAGCTTTAGACAGCTGTGCTATGTGATTAATTTATTTAGGTGTTACACTGGTGCACAAATTTATATACTGAAAAGGACTACAGTATTGCTTTGCTGTAAGTAATAACCGTGTTCCAGTAAGTGATTCAGTGCTGGAGTGTTTAGAAATGCAATCTTATGTAGCTTAATTAAAATGAAGTACCCCTTTCAAGATATTTGCTCTAGGTTAGCCTGAAAAAGTCTACTATGTGCTACTGGAGTTGGAAAAAAATGTTAAGGCAGTTTCTGCAAAGACTTGTTTTGATAAACATGAGTTCAAGAATAAAGCTATTTTGGGATATTGCTATGTCTGCAGCAAGACAACAATTTACTGAATGGAAAGTGTTGCACAGCAAGAGAGAATGGAAAGAAAACTCTTCACTAGCCAAAGCTGAAAGAAAATAAATTCTAACAAATGTTGTTCACTTGTCTGGAGTCTTGATTTTAGTCACCGAATTAGCTCAGTACCTCAGAAACTCAATGATTATAAAATACATCAGCTACCAACTTGACCTGTCATATTTCTGCCCCTTCACTGATTGTTTCCATGCTATTTATTTCCAGGGAAAACTGTGAAAACAACAGGTAACTAGAAGATTGGACAGAACATGATCCAACGCCTGCTGAGTTCAACGGGAGTCTTTTCATTGACTGCTGCGGACACTGGCTCAGGCCCCAGACTGGTAACGCTCAGAGGTACTGACACTCACAGTAGGTCAGGAGTGACACAAGCTGTATCACTCTCATGACTGTGTAGCACATTGAGGGGAAATGAAATTTACAGAAGTCTATATTCCATTAAACCACTATCCACATGACAGTGTACAACTGATTCTCCTCTTTATGCCTGCTGGTTGAATAGGTCACAAATGCTCCCATACCTCTAGCAGATTCTGGCAGATCTGAGCCGAAAAGGGAGAGAAGTGAAACTGCAAGTAATTAGCCCTGCAGATAGCAGAGGAGTGGAGCCTCAAGAGCAGCAAACTGCTGCTCAGCCTTTGGGGTACGATCATTTGCAGTTTCTCTTCTCATCAGTAAAGTATGACACGAGATTCCATATTCAAAGGAGTATCTGAGAAATACTGGTCAGAACATAGGTTCATAGTGGCATTCACCCAGTCTACGTGTCAGTCTGCTGTCATACAGTCTCCAGGACTGGTTTATCCACCTTTTTTTCCACTTGCACAGTCACACAGAAACTTGCAATCAAAAGGAAAAAGACAAGAAAAGATGGTAGCTGAAAAAACACTGGCCCAAAGTATCTTTTTTCACAGTCCACCCTTAAATAGAAGCCCAAATTCAAATGATTTCCCAACTGAAAGCACCTGGAAACTCACTGCCTCTAAAGCACAGCTGTTGCCTGCTACACAAAGGCTGTTCTTCAACTACCAAGCCTGACATGAGTTTCAGGCTTCTCCTTCAGTAAAACAAGCTCTCTTGGCTCCAGCAGAGGTGACAGGAGGGAGCCATGATCCCATGTTTCCTTTGGATCACAGAGCTGCTTCTTCACAGGAGAGAGAGAACAGCCTTTTGACTTTGCAATGTATTAGAGTCACATTTCAGCTTATCAATTCCATGAGCCATGGCTGCGTCCTCTAAATTCATGATAGGCGTGATCCTATCTGTGGGACAGGATCATTTTGAATTGATTTTTAAATTAGTTTCAGTTCCTGCATATAATGTTTCATACCTCATACAGATTTGTGAGTATTAAAGAAAACTAGACTGTGCTGCTTCTTCTGGCATAATGTAGTATTTTCATCATCTGACCCAACCAGGTTCAGCTTAGTCCTGCACTGTGCTGAGCATCTGCTTTAGTACAGCAGAGTAATGGTTTCAAGAAGTGTCTCCTGGCATGGAGGAGACAGGTTCGCAGA